CATTTATGCCACTGAGCTATCTCCCCAGCCAGAAATATGAATTCTTAATACGCCATTCCACTTCTCTTTAAATATGCTTCATTTTTCTAACAACACAGGAACTCAACAGAACCATAAAATGGAATCGGACAATTGACTAAATACTGAGAATATCCATAATCTTTTATTTCCATATTTTATAACATTAACTAGCTATTCACTGTAGGAATTTTTGCTACATAAGCATCCACATGAATGTGAAAGACAGATTTCCAGGAAAGCCGGTTGGTCAGGCTACCATTGCCATGTGAGAGGCTTTGCTGACTGGAGCCTGTCTTCAGCAGGGAAAAGTTGAAGGAACGCCTCCCAAACTGGGAGTGTGGCTACAGAGCAGTGGCTGCCCTAGGCACAGGCCAGCCAGCGGTGTACGTCAGGTGTGTGGGGCCCAAGCGAACTTCCCTATCAGAGTTACATTACTCAGCCACTGGAGCTTCTGACAAATGTCACTGTACACAGAATTGCCATGGACACCTCTGCCCTAAACCTAACCATGTGACAAATGTATACACCTGTAATGCAGAAACTAGTGGATATACTGAAATTTAACTATATATGCTTTCAAATTCCTACTTTAGTCTTTACCTCTGCCCCCAACTTTCATAATAATGAATTGTATAGACTAGGAATCTTTGACGTGAAAAGTCTTTCAAGATTAGGTTTCTTAGAACAGGCAAGAAAACTGACCCCAAGCCAAGAGGAGTCTGCCCTGCAGTGACACACTCAAGACTGGAGCTGGGCTGCACCTGTGCTCCAACTCCAGGCTCTTCTCCCAGGCCCGTTAGCATCAAGGCTCAGACACACTAGCTACTCCAGATTGCTACTGGCTCTGCTGACAAGCTTGAAATGAGGCATAATGAATCTATTCATACTTGAAGCTTTCTAGAAATTCTGTTTGAGGTCTTGCTATGTGACCCAAGCTGGCCTTGAACTCTTGGATTTAAGTGATCCTCCTGCCCAAGTCTCCTAAGTAGCTGGGACAAGAATGAACCACTACACCCAGCTTCTATTTAATTGAAATACTGGTGACTATCCTCAAATATGGGAAAAACATATACTAATATGCCCAGCTTCTATGTAACTGAAATACTGGTAGGCTATCCTCAGATTGGTCATATGGTTCCCAGGCCCACACATACTTAGAAATGGCCAGAGAAAGATGCAAATGCTGCTGACAGTAAAGGGAGAAACACACACTGAAGGAGGGTAAGAATTCAGAGTACCTCTCAACCTGTTGGGTTTCAAGACAAGGAAAGGAAATTCTAAGAGATAAACAAGCCAGGTATCCTGGAACACCCAGGAAGCTGAGGCAAAGAGATTCTGCAAGTTCAAGACCAAACTTGAACTGCCCAGTGAGTTCGAGTTCAAGAGAGGAACAGAGGCACAGACACAGAACGAGAATGAATATGTAATATTCCCTGCAGAATTTCAATGTGCTTGTATATATTTATTCAAGGCAGATATAATGGAATCCTCAATTTTCCCCACTTGGTCATTACCCTGAATAGGAGGTATCACTCAAAATATAAGACAAACAAACCAGAGAAGAGGGATGTACAGCAAATTCATGACTGAAGATTCTAAAATGCTGATTTTATTTCAATGAGCCTACCACAAATTGATATTGATTTAATAATGTAACTGAATTATGAACTACTTTCAAAATTATTTACTGTGTTAAATGTCTGCTGTGTTACAATTATTTCCTTGTTTCTATTTCTGACCTTAGAGAAAAATACTATTGCTAAAGGACAGATATAAATGTAAGATTTACTTCAAACACAAATTTATAATGCTTGCAGTCACGTATGCCCATGCACACCCACACACAATCAGAACTGTGAGCAAAACCATCTCAGCTCTCTGAAAAGCACACACACTCAAAACGGAAACCATATCTAATCTTTCCTGTCATTTCAAAGCAGGCAAAACAAAGAAATCCTTTATAAAATTATTTCCAAAAATAATTCCCCCCTTCAAAGTACAAACTATCTGTTTATGTTTGTTGAGATAAGGTCGTACTACATCTTCTTAATTTAGAAGCACACGCTGATTACCATATAGATTCTGAAGATCTAAAATCTTCAACATAATTTGTGTCTTTTACTCTGACTCGGATCAGATGGAGAGGTTTTACTGACAAGAATGGAGAGAACACACTGACTCTCACTGGTGGGTACAAGGCTCTGCCTTGACAAGGTTGTTCACAATTAGCACCCAACATCACACAACTAAGGGGCGATGAAGCGTAATGAATCCCTCTCAACAGCAAAGAAAGCCAAGCCAGGAATCTTACCTCAAACTGTGGGTAGGGAGGCGTCATTGCTGAAGGGGGCCCTGAGGTGGGAGGTGGCATCCCTGAAGTGGGTGGGAACAGACCCAAGGCATTCAGATTTAAACCAGGAATTAAATGTGCTTGAAGCTGCAATGGTAAGAAGGTCCTTTAATTTGACATTAGAAGAATCAAGGAAAAGTGAGCATTTCTAAGTGACAGCATTCAGATCAGATCACGACCTTGTGTAATGAATAAAAAACTGTATCGTGATTCAAATTTTAGAACAAAGCAGATGTTCCAAGGGACTCTACTTGAATAGTTTTCATCAGCAGAGGGGCCTCAAGGGCAGAGGGCACCTCTACTACCCTAGTTCAATGTGGGGACAGAAACTGTACTGCACCATGGGTGGGTGAACAGGATTTGCTCTTTGAAAAACATACCAAGAATATAGAAGCTGCACTGAAGAGATCTTGGTCCTCTGACAGAACTAGGCACTCAGGTCTTACAGGCCTGAAACAAAGTCACCTCCACTAGAACCAGCACTGTAGCTCTTTTCACAAAGGTGATATTTTCACATTTCCTTTCTCTCAAGTTTTACAGTTTCCAACAGTAAGTACTACTAAAGAATTTCACTAAATCATTTACTTTAAAAATTTAAGGTGGACTTTTTTTTTTGGAGACTAGGTCTCATTATGTAATTGAGACTGGGCTTCAACTCACTATGTAACCCTGGCTGGTCTCTAACTCATGGCAATCCTCCTGCCTTAGCTTTCTTAGTGCTGGGATTACAAGTGTGCACAACCACACTGGGCAAGATGGACTTTTGAAGCGTCCACTTTCAGCACCATTCTATCCACTGAAAAATGTCAGTAACTTGCTCTAACGGCCATAGATGTACAATAGAGATTATTTTGTCATTTGAAACTCTTTCCTCTTTTTTTTTTTTTTTTTTTTTTCTTACAATGGAGTCCACTATATACCCCGGGCTGGCCTGGAACTTGTGGTGATCCTCCTGCCTTAGCCTACCAAGTGCTAAGATTACTGGGCTATCTTTGAAATTGTCCCTATCTCTAAGGTTTATATAAGTAACCAGGTAAGTTTTAAACCTAATGGTTTTTAGGGCTGGCCAGATAGCTCAGTGTAATGATTAAAGCACCTGCTGAGGCAGACGCAGGGGCCAGATTCAACCCCTGGCTGAAAAGAGGAGAACCACAATGAGTCCCATCTGTGTTCTGAGACCCTGTACAGGGTCATAAATACATACAAATATAAATAAAGCCCTAATGATTTTATTTTTATTTATTTTGTGGTTCTAGGGGATCAAGCCCAAGGTCTTGCACACTGTAGGCAGATGATGATGTACAATCCCAACCCCTAAACTTGTATTTATTTATTTATTTATTTTTTTGCGGAACCAGGGATTGAACTCAGTCCCTTGTGCTTGCCAGGCAAGCACTTATTCTATTGAGCCATCTCCCTGGTCCCAAACTTGTATTTTTAATAGTAACTTTTATATGCATTATAGCTATTGCAGTTCTAGTAAGCGGGCAAGGCAAGTCACAGCTCCATTCACAAAGGAGGAAAAAGGCCCAGAGAAACTAAATAATTGTCCAAAAGAACAAAGCTACAGCTTACAAATCCTGGGCTACGATTCAAATCCAGTTCACATACTTCCCAGATTAACATAAAGGAGATACGAACCTTTGTAGACAGATTCTAGGATTTCCCCAGACAAGAGAAGCCACAGCCTACAAGCTAATGTCAAAGACTGTCTTTCCTTCTATCCCAGGGACTTAGTATGGTACTAAAAATCCATTAAAACCACTTCTTATGTCACCACTAAAGAAATTAACATTAACATGATAAAAACCATCTTTAACTACTTATCAAAATAAGGACACTTCCTTCATTTAAAACTGACATTCATGGAAGCAATATCATTTTCATAAGATTCCCTGATCTTCTTCATTATCTCTTCCTCAGCTTTGGCACACGTTTCAACACTGCCTTTAACAGTAATGGTGCGCTCTGGATTATACAGCGTCAGCTCCTGCAATCTGCAGATTGAATAAAAGAAGGGAAAAAATGGAAATCATAGAAGGAAGAGCGTCAATAAGGCAGACACAAATGGCAATTAAAACCAAATTCTGTTAGTGGGCATGTAGAAGTGAGCAGTCAAACATGATGGGTAATGAGAAATACCCAAAAGGCATAAATCCAAAAACTGTAAAAGCTGCAAGAAAAAAGGAAATATCTCCCCTCACACTCTCTCAAAAATTAGTGTACACTTAGTTTAATTAAATTAATGTCTTAAACACAGCTTACTTCTTTTTTTTTGGGGGGGGGGGGTAGGAGCAGAACCGGGGATTGAACTCAGGCCCTTGCGCTTGCCAGGCAAGTGCTTATTCCACTGAGCCATCTCCCCGGCCCCTAACACAGCTTACTTCTTGGTCACTTAAAATTGAATCATTTTCACAATTTAATAAAGAATTAAAATGGACTGATTAGAAGGATGTACCACTTTGGTATAAACTCATGCACTTGCATTTTCTGGGACACTAAGGAAGGAAAACACATAGAATTATTCCCTAAAAAACCATCCACAATTCATGTGCCTCAAGTTAGTATATTTTTAAAATTTAGATTATGGTAGGCTAAGGGAAACAACAGAAATCAGTCCACCTCAGCTACACTTTTCTTCTTCACGGTACTAGATTGAACCCAAGGCTTTGCAATGAACTACATATATCTGCAGACTTTTCGTTATTTTGAGACATGCTCCCCTTCTGTTGCTAAATTACCCAAGCTGGGTTTGAATTTTCAGTCCTCCTGCCTCAGCCTTTTAGCATGCTAGGACTATGGGCACACACCCACACCCAGCTCCAATGAAGCTACATTTTAAAAATAGTCCATCAGTGACCATTTAGAGTACAAAAAAAAAGACAAACTCCCATAAGCAGGGGAAGAAGGGTTAAAAGGAAGGGAGGGTAATGGGGAAAAAGAGGCAGCAAGATATACTATCTACAACTACACATACCCTGTAATGAATGTGATCATTATGTATATCTAAAATGTGCCAATAGGGCTGGTGAGATGGCTCAGTGGTCTAAAGCACCTACTTAGAACAAGCTTAGCAAAGCACAGGGACCACGGTTCAATCCCCCAGCACATGCCAGCCAGCCCGCCCCCCTGGTGGGCTGAGCTGCCCCCCACACACACACACAAATAAATAAAATTTTTGAAAAATTGTGCCAATAATTAAAACACACACACACACACACACACACACACACACACACACACACACAAGGTCAGGGATGTAGCTCAGTGGTACAAGTGCCTGCCCGGCAAGCACAAGGTCCTAAGTTTGATTTCCAGTACCCCCAACCCCGCAGCTGGAAAGACTGGAAAGAGGAAAGCAAAACACAGTAAATGGCAAAGCCTAAAAATAATGTGTGAAAGTCGGTTAATTCAAAAGCAAGGCAGCACTTACGGAGATATTGTGATTTTAGTGTCTGTGTCCTGCTCAATTTTTTTCAGGTTTCTTCCTTCTTTACCAATAAGACGGCCAACGAAGTTATTATGGGCTAAAATCTTCAGTGGGATTTCTTCCGTGCTATAGACAGAAAAATGATCATAAAAGTTAACTTCCTCTTGGAAGATAAAAAGATAATATTCATTCATTAAACATTTATTTCCTATCTACCGTACAGGAAATGTTATGCAAGGTACATGTTTATAATTGGCCAACATTCTAAAAATGCATAAATAGAGGGGATGAAAAAGCATTAGAAAGTATCTCGATAGGAGTTAATTTTTAGACTGTCAACACTGATGTTACATCTGTGTGTGTATTTAGTTCATGCAAATTGAATATACATTCTTGCTCAGGAAAAAAAAAAGGAGTTAATTTTTAAAATGGTTTTTCTTTTACTCACTTCAGGGAATATCTACCTTCAATGATAGATCCTCTTAGTCAATCTAGATTCCTAAAATGAAAATCAACAGCAGACATGCTTTGGGGGATAGTATACAAGCAGGAAGTGGAGGCCTGCACTTTGCTTTCTGTACCTCTTGGAATTTCTAAACCATACACAGAGCACTGTTTAAAAAAATGTTACTGGGTCGGGGCTGGGGAGATGGCTCAGAAGAATAAGTGCTTGCCTGGCAAGTGCAAGGGTCTGAGTTCAATCCCCGGTTCCACAAAAAGGAAAAAAAAATGTTACTGGGTCTTTCGTCTCTAGCCAGAGTAGGAGTGGGTGGGCCTGCGTGACCTTCTGGGAATGAGCTATGTGGCATTGTTGCTGGACCCCCACCTCCTCTTATGGCTGCTTGCCAACTTGGATTTACCCAGGTGGTCACAATGACAGGTAAAGAAATTAACGAAGACTATCCCATAGAAATTCATGCATACTTGTCAACATTTGAGAATTCCATAGGAGCTGTGGATAAGATGCTGAAGACCATGATGTCTGTTTCAAATATGAGTTGCTGCAAAAATTGGACCCTTAGTTTCTGTATACATGTTAAGCTCAATGCTTTGGGTTTATTTAGCAACTCAAGGAGTCAATCTGAAGAAGCATCCAGTAAAGCAGGAATTGGAAAGAATTAAGAGTATGCATGAACCAAGTCAAGGAAATAACAGACAAGGAAAAGGCTGGCAAGCGGGATAGAGGTGCAGCCTCAAGATGTGTGAAAAATGTCCTCTGGGAGCCAAAACCTAAACATGCAGTGAAAGTCGATAAAGGAAAAAGTAAAAATTAACTTTTAGTTTTGATATACACATATGCAAAAATTACCTCATTTTATTGTATTCACAACATAGGTAATTATATGGCAATGAGAAGTTTAAATTTATTTTCCTGTGAATTCATATTTAAATTTACACTTTAAATTTGTAGTGCTAAGAATTCCCTCTCCCAAAAGACCTGTCTTTATTGATTTTCCTATAGAGCATCATGAGGTTTTTAACACTGTGATATATTTTATATTTATAGTTTACCATCTCTTTTGGCAAGATATTCACTTCTTTAGAAGCTTTTTTTTTTTTGCTAGCTCAGAATGCCCTTAAGGCAGGTCAGGTAAAGCATGAGGATCTGGGGATCAAACCACATCATCATGATCCCCAGATCCTCATCTGAGTTTTTTGACATAGGGCTTCACCTATCGCCTAGTTTGGGCTTCCCTTAAACTCTCTGTAGCCCAGGCTAACCTTGAACTTACGGGAACCCCAGCCTCCTGAGTGCTGAGATTACAAGATTAGGGATGACAGGCTGTGCCACCACACCTGGCCTTTATAGGTCAATCTTGGCAAGTACCATTTTGTAATCAACTGTGAAATTTAAGTTAAATGTTTTTGTAAACATTGATATATTTTAAATGAGTAATAACCTTATAAAGTATGCTTCTATAGACTGAAAATTTAAATACATGTGTTTCTACTGTGTGACGTTAAGAATGAAATGGCATAAATATCTTTTTTCTGTGTTGTTCATTGTATTTTTTTTTTACATTTATTTATTTATTGTGTGTGTGTGTGTGTGTGTGGCCAGCTCAGCCCACCAGGGGGCGGGGCTGGCTGGCATGTGGTGCTGGGGGAGTGAACCGTGGTCCTTGTGCTCTGCCAAGCTTGTTCCAAGTAGGTGCTTTAGACCACTGAGCCATCTCGCCAGCCCTGTTCATTGTATTTTCATAGTTGTAGAAATGATTCTTTTTGGGGGGTATTGAAAGTATGAAATCAAAACTTTTTTTTTGGGGGGGGTACTGGCTCAGGCTGCCCTTAAGGGCGGGTCTACTAAGGCAGGTGGACACAGGGATCAAACCACGGTATCGTGCGCCTGACTGTGTTTGCATGAGCAGGTGCTTAAACAACCGAACCGGCAGGCCCTCCAAAAATCAAAACTTTAGTACTTCAATTTTTGGTATACTGACTCAGTGCTATATGTAAAATAAAATGTATGGCTAGATGTTGGTCTGATGGCTCTACCATCTCAATACTCAATAAATTAAAATGAAAATAAACTAAAACAAAAATAAAAATGTTAGTGGGGTTACTGGATATTGAGATTTTCCTTGAATTTTCTCTGTACTAAAAAAAGATTACATTCATATAACACTCATCTATAACACCATTACTAGGACATATTTAAAGGTTTCTACAAGTTAAGGGTCAGTGTTGAGGTTTCCAGGCTAAACCCTAGAGGTTTATTCTGGATTCCAATAGTAGTGCAGTGCTATTCTGGACATTAAAGTGCTACAGAACCCAACCTCCACTCAAATATTCCTGTGCAAGAGATATTAAGAGCTCCACCTCCTAACCCTTCACTGAATCTCCAGTTTACGTTAGTGCAGAATCAATGACTTCCTCCCTGCACAGCCTCTGCTTCTGAGGGGTGGGACTAGGCAGAGGACAAGGACAGAGCTGCAGTGGCCTCTCAGTGAAGGATGAATCGATCTGCCCCGAGTAAATCCTATGACATCTTGGGCCTAGGTTGGTTTCCTATGTCTAGCAGCTGCCTTTTTCCACAGCTGGACTCTTTTCCCCGTTAAACACTTGATCTATATCCAAAACATGGATTAAAATGAAACACTTAAGAGTCCTATGCTTCAAAACAAAATCTATAGTGCCATCCACTCGTAGGATTCCATTTCCCTCTGCTTGTTGGGAGATCCCAAGAAGTGTACCATAGAAATACAAAAACAAGACAGCATATAAACATCTTTCATAGGTTGGTCCTCTTTACTTACAATTTTATATCTTGAGCTTCCTTATGCATGATCTCCAGAATAGACTTACAAGCCGCAGAGGTGCCTTCAGGAGTAGAGAGGATAGTGATTGACTTCTCTGCAGCCCCTGCATTCTCTTTACGATGAACATCGATTCTGACCGTAGTGGGCACAGAGAGGGGAGCAAGAACTGTTAGTGTGTATTCACAAGAGCCCCAAATTACAACTGCAAAGTCACTGAACTACTAAGGAAGCATGCATGACTCATTTCAGCAGAAACTCTTGACACTGTCAGCCCTGAAAGATGAATTTTAATTCCAGGAACACTCCTTCTTCCCTCAACCCAACCAAGCAGAGACATCTTTTCATTCTGCCCAAGCTTTGTGCTTAAAGCTTCCTTTCAGATGCCACAGAACAAATCTCTCATACAACAGAGCCTGGGATTCAGACAAAAGGCTTTCCCCTAAGCTAAAACAAACAGGAGCTGAGTGTGGGCCAAGATTGAATCCCCTGTTCTGCAAGGCACAGCCACCGGTCACTGTATGAGCAGATTTTATTCATCTGCCTTGCTTTTGGGTTCTCCCAATAGGATGCTACCTCAGCTTATAAATGGCTGCATTTGTGTTTGTGTGGGGAAGATGTCCAGGGCTATTAGTCATCCGATGCAGTCTGAAAACACAAGCATACTGCTGGACACTTATTTGTGAACCAAACTGTACAGAAATGCATGAACCAAGGTGTCACTGTGTACATTTTGCCTTTTGACAGAGGAGGGTCAGCAACAGTGAGGAATGTGGATCCCAAAGAGATGGTAATTCTGCTCCAAAGAAAAGCAAATGGTCAATAAATTCAAATGGTGTTCAAACCTCACTAGTAGGGGCCAGGGAGATGGCTCAGTAGAATAAGTGCTTGCCTGGCAAGCACAAGAGCCTGAGTTCAATCCCTGATTCCACCAAAAAAAACCCCACCTCACTAGTAATTAGACACATAACAGTTAAGATGCCATTTTCTTCCAGACCTGTAAATATTCTGAGAGTAAAGGAGGTGCTGGTGAGATGAAGAGTAATGGTGCACACCCACTCTTGGTGGGTGCTCCCAAGTACTGGCCAGACCTGCCAAAGGTAAAACGCACATGACCTTCTGCCCCAATTCTCATGTATGTGCTGTCCCCTCGAGGGAGCACTGACCCAAGAACTCTACCTCTCACAGCACCTCCTAGACAGAGCCTCCTCTGTGGGCTAACAGAGGTGCTTTTACTCCTTTGGCACTACTGACAGTTTAGTTCAGATTAATTTTTTTTGTGTGAATGGCACATCCTATACATTACAGGATTATTTAGCAACATCTCTGGCTACTAGATGTCAGTACCCTTCATCCAGTTCTAACAAGCAATTATGCCTGCTGATACTGCCAGGTCTGCATTGGGGGGAATCGCCCCAGTAGAGAACCATTGACACAACATTTACTCAAGCACTACACACACACACACACACACACACACACACACACACACATATATATATATTTTTTTAAATTTTACAGAAGGGTCTACAGGGTGTTCAGGGTCTCACTACTAGATCCAACTCACAGTGATCCACCTGTTTACAGCCTCCCAAGAGCTGGGATTACAAGCGCACCACCATACCCAGTCTCAATTGCCTTTTCAGCATGCCCCAGGGGTGGGATCGAACCTCCTGCACCTGCTTGCAGGTGCTTTAATCCGCTGGGCTATTTGGCCAGCCTTCAAGCACTATTTTTAACAGGCAAAAAATAATTAGAAGTATGTTAAAATGCTTGTAAGGAAGAGATGGTTAGTGCTGGGAAGATAGCTCAGTGGCAAGTATAAGATTGAGTTCAATTCCTAATAAACACCCCCCACCCCCACCCACAAAAGGGAAGAGATAGTTAAATAACAATGTTTCTACATTGTACAGAGTAAAATATGTAACTAAAAATAGGGTAATGAAGAAATAAAACCTACCTAGAACTAAAAAACAAAACAAAAAACCCTACTGTCTTAGATAAGCCTCAGTCTCCACAACCATCTTCCCAACCCACTTCAATTCAATAGCGCTTACCTCCTGGTAACATATTAATGTGTCTCTCCTTTCGTGTATTTCTACCTTGTCACTGTTACAGACTACTAAACTCTGATCCGATGAGAAGAGAATGTTGCTTTGAAAATTCGGGTGTCCCCCGAGACTATTCTACAAACTAAGGTTCTGATAATGATTAGTTTCAAAGCCAAGAGTTCATTAGATCCACTGGCAGAGCTCTGCAAATGAATCATCAAATATAACTTCCCTTCTTCCCTACCCACACTTCCTGCCTTAAGTAAAACAAACAGTTCAATTTAAGTCAGAGCTCTTTCATCTGACAAGGAAATGAACGGCTCAAAAAGGAACAACTCTAATCTGCCATAGGACAAAGTAGGGAAACCATGTAATGTAGTTCTACAGGTAATAATGGCTGGATTGAGGGAAACAAGAAGCTCTTACATTTTAAGATTAAAGCCAGGCAAACTGATTTAGATTACAGTTAAACTACCTTCCCCACCTGCTGTATTATGACGTTAGGGCCATTAATTTTGTACACAAGTACCCAGCAACCAATGTCTCTTGCTTCAAAGCAGGGGAAATCAGGCTAAGATGACATGAAGGAGTGGGGGTAGGCACCAATTACCATTAAATACAGATCTTCTGAGTTCTGCATGAAATATCCATCAGCCAGCTCAATGGCACCTATGATGAATGTGGACATTGGCTGGTGGACAAACACATAAGCACCGTAGTTCTGTTTTCAGAGAAAGACTGTGCTTCCTCAGATGACAGAGAACAAAACTTTCTCTTCACTAAATTTTTTAAATATTGATTTATTTGTTTGGCATTGGGTCTGGCCACACAGCTCAGACTCATAGTGAGCCTCCAGTCTCAGCCTCCTCAGCTGTGGGATTGCAGGCATGTGCCACCACACCCAGTTTTGGTGGCCAGCATGGTGGCATGAAATGTGGTACCAGAGCTTGAACCCAGGTCCTTGAGCTTGCCAGGCAGGCACTTGGACCACTGAGCTGTCTCACCAACTCCTCTTCACTAAATTAAAAAAACAAAATAACCAAACATCTCTGTAGCTTGCAAAATGTCATCTGTACAAGGATCTTTAGGAAATACGCACAGCAGGCCCAGAGACCTGCATACCACATGTTACAGGACTAGGGGTAGAGAGAGTTCAACACCACGATTCTTTGGATCAAAATGTTTATATACCACACAACTACTGAACTTCCAAATTGAAAGCATCTTAGAGATATGCAACGGGCTTCAAACAGTTCACATACAGCCACTGCACTCAATTGGCAAATTCAAGAGCCTTCTCCCCATTAGGCCATGACCTCAGCACGAGATATGGTGGTAAATAAAACAGTTCCTACTCCAGAAAAGTTGGTTCCATCATTTGAACAAGAATCTTCCAATTCCTTAATACCTGCCATTCAAAACTATCAAACAATCAGGAGTATAGTGTGGGAACACACCTATAATCTCAGCACTTGGGGGGCTGAGGTAGGAACATCAAATGTGGGCTCCATCAGGAGTTCAAAGTCAACCTGAATCACATAGTGAGACCCTGTCTCAAACACAAACACAACTAATTTTAAAAATTAATCAAACAATACTCTGAAGGAAAAAAAAAAAA